AAGAAATGAGTGCGGCTTATAAGGGCTGATAAGTGCCAAGTTTGAGTTATTTTTTAGTGATAATAAATATGTGGTTGATTTTATGATTTTTGCATAATTTTTCACTTATAATGTTGCCAAGAATATATTCATATTGACGATATTTCTCAAAGTCTTGCTTTTTTTACAGGTATGTATCATACTAGGATAAGAGACCATCTTTTATTCTAACCAAATTATTCAACTTTGGGAAAGGAAGGAGTAAAGGAGTAAGTTATGGTCACTTAAAAATTTTAATGTACATTACTAATTATTTGGTATAAAAGCATTGAATTCTTGTATTTATGTATTGACAGTCAATATGTATAAATATGTAGTTCTAGCTTATTAAAATTACTTGCCTAGAACTTGGTAGTTTTCAAAGCTTTCTTTTTTCTTACAATATCTGACTATCCCTGCATGAGAGGAGTGTCAAGATATTGATAATGCTTACTTTGCAGATGTGGAAACTTTAGATTCCAAAAGTAAAAGGAATTGTCTGTATCTGTGGGAAGAATGGAATGTATTCCTTTTTCTTAACCTGAGCTCTTTTAACCGCACAGCATCTTAATGGTTGGGCAGCCAACATTTCTTTGAACAAAGGATAAGGTAAACTTTGCTCTGAGCTTAGAAACAATGTTATTGGACACAAGTCAATTTAATTGTGTGAAGATGCCTCCAGCCTTTTATCAAGGTAGTCTTTATAATGTTTAGCAAAATATGATTCATTCCTATGAGCTTTAAGTGTGTATTTCTAACAAGTTGCAGAGAAACATAGGTATTCACAGGCAAGAATTAAAATATTCAAAAGGTTGCTATGCGCTAAGTGTTTGGAGACATGGAATTTTGCAAAATGCCAAGAAATAGGGGGAATGAATGAGAAATCAGAAATTGAAGACTATCCAGACTAATTTAGAGTGGTAAACAAAATTTCTTCCTTGAATATCTTTAGAAAAATAAACTCCAAATGTGAAACTTGAGCTGTTACATGTTCATTAATAGCTGATGAATACTTGAAAAAAAATATGATACAAACCACAGCCATGAGTAAGTGATTAAAAGTGTATTATTGTAACTCCTCTTTTCTCAGTTTCCCTACTTCCAAAACACAAGTATAGTGTTGAAGTCAAGATTGCTAAAGAAGCAAAAGAGGAAAACCACATAATGTGTTTTGCAGATGAAATTCATTCAAATAGTAATCACCATATTACATTAAATTAGAAATCTTTATAAGTGACATTAGCTCACTTTCCCCTAACATTCTTAACAATGGGATCAGCACCTAGGAACACAGCAGAGACGTTCAGGATGTACTATGGTAGAATTTTGCAGTAATTTCAACTGAGCAATGAATTTTGTTTCTGTACTTCTTAAATGGATTGATCCTGTGAGTTCTGTGACTCTGACTACAGCAGAAAAGAAAGTGTTTTAAGGCTGGTCTTCAAAACATTGCCCACTTCCCGCACTCAGCCTTTACCATGCCCAGCTAACAGCTGGGACTGTGAGACTTATGGAGCAGAGAATCATCAACTCAGTGTCCTCAGGAAGGCCCAGACACGTGAAGAGCCTGATCTGTAGGACGTGGCCCCCTGGTCGTTTTGTGCTGTGAACACATGAATGAGTCCAGCTATAGCACCGGGGTTAGGCTTATGCTGGCAGGACCCGTACATTTGTAAGAATAATAAGCAGTGATTATATGAGGACATAAATCTTGGAGTTGCATACAGTGCTATTACAGAAATGACTCTATTTGTAGATCTCTTATTTCCATGGTAACTTCTTCACGGAACTGTCCCTCATGCAACATAATCGGGTTGGTGTTTCTCTTCAGACCTTCCCTAATGTACTGCACTGGGCTCTTTCATGATGCTTATTTTCCGATGGTATAAAGTTCATCTTTGGCTTGATGGCTGGGTCCATGTCATTATTCAACAGTTACCAAGGGCATTACATATGCCATATAGCAGGTGATGAATAGGGCTTAGGTTAACTCTTTCATGTTGAATTTGGACACACATTCATAATTTTAAGGCCTTCATGTCCTTTGAAAACCAGAAAATGGTCAGCTCATTGATTGAGCACCTGTGTAAGAACACTATTTGAATATGTTATTTGTCTAAGTGATAGATTTATTTTAAACACATCTCTGTCTCACCACCTGTCTTAAATTTCTGCTAAAATAACTGGTATTTTTTAAATCTCATGGTATTAAGCATTAACAGTTGAAAATAAATTTCATTTCACATATTTCATGGTTAGCGATACATTCTTCTTAGATAACCTTCGCTTATAGGAAAGGTGCTAACATTGGAGTGCATAACAGTGTACTCTTATAAACTTATTGTAATAAATGCTCTAGACAGTGTGGGCAAACCTAGGGCATGCATGCCACAGCTGTCTACTTGTTTTCACGGAACACTCTAGGAGGCTCACCATCATTGCTCTACGATCGAATTGTTGTGACTCTTTACTGACTGCCCATCAAACTGAAGGTGATTAGCTTCCTTCAAATAGAAACCGTTTCTTGACCAAGTTCACATAGCCAGAGCAGCAGACTCACGATTACTAAAACTAGTCTGCCCTCAAACTTTCTGCTGATTGCTCTACTCACTGCTTCTGTATTATCTGATGAAAGGGAAACCCTAGTTATTGCTCCCCAAGTTTCCTGCAGCGTGCTACGGGCATTCGGTATTTTCATTTATTCTTCATTTTTGAGAAGAATGTGAAATTCTGTTACCATCTATGTATTATATAGGAGACAGATATGTAAGTATGTTGCCTAATTTTAGGTAGTAAGTGACAAGGCCAGGAGCTGAATCCAACTCTGGTCTCACAGTGAATGCTAAATATTTTTTTTTATTCTTCTTTTTTTTTTTTTTTTGTCTTTTTCCTTTTTTTTATCGGTACCAGGGATCAAACTCATGACTGCCTGCTTGCAAGACAGGCGCTTATGCCACTGAGCTAAATCCCCAGCCCCTGAATGCTAAATATTTTTTGAGTCACTGAGTAGACTCCTGTCACAATACAATCGAATTCTAACACATGTTCATTACCTAGAACAATCATAAATGAGCCTCAAATAAGTGAACGCACACAGAATGATTTCCTCACCTGGGTAAAGCATTTTTAATTAAATATTTTAAAGCCTTAATTTGTATATCTTATTACAGATTAAACCCAACCTGTTACATGTTCATCTGAATGAATTAAATAGATCTGGATGCTTATGCTAGTTATTTTAGAGAAATTTGTCTTGATCAATGCAAGTTGAATCCATTTAAGTATTTGAATAATATTGAAACAGGGCTTTTAACTTTACTATGACTGCTTTACCTAGCTCAAGGTCACTGTTATAACCTAAGGCCCCCTAACTATCGCGCTGTAAGGTCTGTTCTGTATAAGCCCACCTGCTGCTTCCCCTCCCCTTCTCCCTTCAAATCTAACTAGGTTAAGTTTTAACTTCCTAAAGGCCATAAAACAAAGGCCTGAGGTAATAGCTCCTGACAACCTGGGTCTTCCCTACCCGGTAGCCCGTCACAGATTGTGTTAATTGCATTAGATTGTATTAGATTGTACATTCTTCACAAAAATAGCTTAGTTTTTATCATAGCAATACCTGTAACTTGGCCTTACTGTAAATGTGTGTTTTCCTTTTCCGAGTAAAGGACTGATATGTTAACCATTGTTGCCCTCTACAAATAACAGTTGTGTTGACAAAGTAGGGTAACTAAGGTTGTTAATTGCTGTTAGACTTCTCTATTCTTTGATAAGAAAAACAAGATTTCTTCTTGTCTAAACTTGCTAGTATGCAGGGAGACTTGCAATTGCCGTTTCTGCTTTGTAGTGCGTCACACCCCCATCCCCTTCCTTACATTGTGTGACCAGCAGCTGTTTGTGGATTTACAAGATAAAAGACCTGACTCTTAGCTGTGAGGTGCGCAGTCTCCAAATTGGCTCCCGGAGACTCGTCACCAGGCCTGGATTTTACCTAATAAAGCCTTTGCTTCCCAAATTTTAATTTCTTGCTTCCTTGGATTTTATACCAGGGTCCGAGTTATCACAGTCACCAAAACTAATTTTCCTTCTGTCCACTTAAAATATGTATTTTAGTCAGTTTTAAAGCCCTGCCTGCCTTAAAGTGCTCAGACAAAACAGGTGGAACCACTCATAGCCACATTGTGGATATTTGAACCTGTCCTGGACAGATGATGGAAGGGCAGGAGTAACAGGGTCATGGAGGTTCAGGAACTGCTCCCCCGTTCAAGATCTACTACATTCATTTGACCTTTGCCACACATAAAGCTTTTTAGCACTTAGTGATGTTAAAATTTACCTCATAGCTTCCCAAACTTAATTTGAAACACAAAACTAAACAGATTTTGTTTCAAGATAGTATTTTTAAAAAAGAAACTTCAAAAAAAGCCTTGACTTTCCTAAAAACTTATTAACCACTAGTTTAAGTAGACAAGATACCATTTTTTTTATAATAGAGCACATTACTTAAATTGGATCTATCCAGTTCTCTAAGTTCTTATAATTAAATTTTTGCGAACACTCAGCATTTTAATACACATTGAAAATACATTCAGTTAGGATGTATTTAAAATGTATGATGTGATTGTTTTGATATTTTCCCATGGAGAGGTGGAAAATGTTCTTTACAATTTATAAAAATAACTTCCAGAATAAGATGTATGGTTTCCAAGTCATGCTGGTGGTGTGGCTATGTTTACGTACTGGTATATAAAATGGCACCCCAAGGAAAAGGGTGTGCTTGTATGTGTGTTAGAAACAGTCTCTTTGCTTTTGGTAATCTCACATTGTCTCATCCTTGAGGCCAGAGTGAAAAGTTAGGCTCTATGCATCAGCAGGGAATTGGAAATTACCCTTGTAGAGAACATTCCCACTTTTGCTAATATATGGCAGGAGATACACAAAGAGAGAGGGATCCTCACTGAGATTTCAAAGTCCCACTCACAGAGTATCCTCAATAAAAGACTCTTTATTCATAAATAACTGATAGGCGGTAATTTACGTCTGTACATTTATCTTGAAAAGTCTGTAACCATCCAGTTTTTTTTTCAAACTCTACATAAAACATCCAACTGTCCATTTTGTTCAGTACAATATAACACAGCTGTTTGGCATTACCAAATATATATGTATATATATTTATAGGTCTGTACATGTGCTGAAAAGAAGCCAGTGCAGCCTTCTCTAAGAAGTCCATCCAAGTTTACTGTACAACATTCAGAATTTACATTGATAATACAAGGCACAAAAAGTGTGGTATGAAGCCAAGGCCATGCTTTATTCAAACTCTCCCCTCTGGCTTGTTCACTCCTTCAGCTTCATGTCGAATTTAGTGTTCAGCCCCACTTTTCAAATCATACTGAATTTATTTTGGCTTTGAACACATCAAATAAAAGTTGTGAGTGGCATGGGTTTGAGATATGAGTCACTTGCAAGAACACCCCCCACGGACCTTCCCCCAAATAAACAGAACAAAGCAAAATCTGTTTTAAATTCTGCCATACTGACATGGAGATAAACAATGACTCATGTTTTTGGTTTGTAATTTGGGCTAGGAGAATAAGCCAACTTCCTCCTACCTGTTAATATCTGCAGGATTTCGAGGCCAGGATTTGAGTGCATGTGTTGATCAGATACAATTGTAAGGAATGGAAACTGTCTTGATTCCAATTTACAAAAGGAGAAAGTATTGCTTCTGACCAGAAGGTTCTGGCAGCTGGAGCGTTTCCCCACCTCCCTGCAGAGAAGTGCTGAGTGGGAATGTGGTACATTAGCACACACCTTGGTGTTTCTGAGGGGTGGTTTCAGTTTCTCTAGGATGCGACTCAGGTGACTGCCTGTGTGTGACTGCCCCACTCAGAACCATCAGAACTAGCGAATGCTGCCATATTAGAACGATTTGATCCAATTCTTATTTGGATGTCTGTGGTTTTTTTATCAAGGTGACTCAGTCATAAGGCATGATATTCCACTTATACACGTCTTTCAAATAACATCTCTCCTGTGATGACTCACTAGGAACACAATTAAATCTCTACTTGCCAGAGATAGTAAGTTTTCAAGTTTTCAATTGAAAATATTGTTCACTTTTGGAATTTGGGTGTACATAATGCTTGAAGTAAATGAAATGTTTTTGTACAGTTAGCAAAATCTGAGACAAAAGGGCATCTTCATTGTAACAAGGTCTTCTGCAAAAAGAACTTTTATATATATTTTCATGCATGCAAAGAACTGTATTACCAATTATATATTCTGCAATCAAAATTATAAATTTCTGGGAGAAAAAAGACATAATCCCACCTAAACATAATAGAAGGGGTAGGGAAGGGAATTTCCAAGCTTAGGCCTAAACATGAAGCTTACTGCCTTTGTAATCTTTGGGTTCAGTTGGGGGTAGGTTCCAAGACATGAAGTTTAAATGTTACTGTCTCAGGCCCACCTCGTGAGGACGCTCCAAATCCATGATCTTAACAGCAAAAGGAAAAAGCAATGAGTAGCTGCTTCAAAAACCACGATTATTCTATGGGAGTTAAAGTTCCTACTTCAGATCACAGTACTACACACTAGTGACTAACAGCCAGGTCTGGTTTCCTCCCCTTCTAGCTTCTGCAAAATGACAGCGTTCTAAATTGCCATTTTGATCCTGTTGACGACCCCGGAGTGGGGATGCGAGGAGGAGTCCGTGAGAGACGCTGGCTCTCCTAGAACTGCTTTTGCGAAAAACACCACATGCTGTCAACACAGCCAAACAGCTTTATAACTGCAGCTTTTGAAAGAGTTTGGAGAGGAAAACACAAAATATGCAACACATCTAAGATTAGTAACATTTTCACTTTTGTGACATTTGACAAAATACGTTTCTGCTTGTAGTTCAGGAAAAAGTCTATGCAGACGAAACAGTGGATACTACGGAAACGGTGGCTGTTTGGCTTTTGGCTAAAGCATCAATTTTCAAATACGGCGCTATGGCAACGAACACCAAAAGGCTAAGAAAATGTTTTCACCATCTGTAGGCCAGCATTTTGCTCTCCCATTTGCTGTGGCTGTCACCTCGAGTCCAGTCAATGGGGAGCTAGGATTCAAGCCTTGCAATGTTTCATGAGGAAAGGAATGAAAATGGGCCACAATGGGCCAGACAGACACGTTGCTCAGCAACTTCCTGCTTCCTGTGACCTCTACAGACCTGAAAGGGAGACTTCAGAGAACATCATCTTCAACACATCTGACAGCTAGAGCATTCGGCGCATTCACAGAGGGCAGGGAGAGCCAGAAACTGAAGAGCAGATGGGAAAAGGAAAAACAAATGCATTTCAAGAGACTTTTGTACCATTGTGAAATCCACTGGTAACTTTGCCACTGGTTGGCAAGCAGAGAAACATGATCTAAAACCTATTATAATGTGTTTCTATCTACCTTTGTTTATCAGTCCTGGGGTGGAGAATTTTTGTCAAGCAACGTAACTACAATAATTCCAGGACTTTTAATCCAAAAGAAGAATCTCGTTTTAGTGATTTGACTTAACATTACCTCTCAAAGCCAACTAAAAGAAAAATACAGGGACCATGATGCAGGATAACCTCTGTGGTCAGAATAAAAATAATAGAGAAAAATTCCCCTCTTTAAAGAGAACTGTCAGTTCTTTTTCGTCTTTTACAAAAAGGCCAATAAATTTTTTGTGGGAGTACATCTCAATTTTATGAGACTGCCTAAACCAGTAAATGAAGTTCGTATTTAAATCTACAGTGAGCGTCCTTTTGGCTTAAAGGATTCTAATGTAATCCAGTCAGACTGTACAAGCAGCGTTGTAAAGATTGTGAATTTAACTTTATGATGCTGTAGTCTGGCGAAGCTATGAATTGTAACATTTTGGTGGAATAATTTTTAGTCATGTTTAAAGCATGCCTGTTAGATTTAAATGTCTGTGAGCACTGAAAGATTTGGCATTAAGTGGGATGGTTTGGAAAAAAAAAAAAAAAACCTGCAAAGAATTTAGGGCCATTTTTGATTTTTGCTTTACTTTGTACTCAAACCATAAGACTTCCAAAGTAAGTGCTTAGACTAAGGAGTAAATATCTTTCAAGACAGATATTAGTGTAGCGACAGGAAGTATCATAGAAAAAGCTTTGGGTCCCAGTAATTAACCATACGTTCAAATGCAAACTTACTGTGACTGGCAATCCCTTTGCCCTACACACATATCTTGGGCTATAAATCTCACAACCCTGGGTTCTTTTTGAAGTTCTGTTGTAAAGCACTGCATGATACTGAACATTTAGCAACTACAGAATTTCATACATTATTATAGAAAGCCTGTGTAGTAGAATAACTGCAGAAAGAAACATAAAGGAAAAACAGAAGTGGCTAGAGATTTAGCTCAGCGGCATAAGCACCTGCCTTGCAGGCAAGTGGTTGTGAGTTCGATCCCCGGTACCGATAAAAAAAGAAAAAGACAAAAAAAAAAAAAAAAAAAAGGAAAACCAGAAACAACAAAAAAGAATCTGAATGAAACTTGGGTTGAAATCTGAGGAGATTCATATTAACCTTTCCCTGTAAGTGATGTGATGTTCAAAGGTGTCGATAAATCCTGGCCAAAAGAAAAATCCCCAAAATGGGGAAAATTTTGCATTCTGAGATTAAACATAATTTCATCTTATTTTAAAGTAATCAAGAGAGGTTCCAAGGGAAATCACTTAAATTTCATCTCTTTTAAAATATTTTAAAAAATTCAACAAAGGACTTGTGTGGATTCATCGAACAGATGAAACAGCTAATAGGCCTATTAGAAGGAAAGAGAAAAAAGTGAAGGTGATTTAAAATGAAATCTTCCAAGGTGTACGTTAACATAAGCTCCCCAGTGTGCGTAGACAGGTTATTTCTCTACAGATTAACACAGTCTGTCTGCACCCAGCGATGCCAGGCAACTGACTAGTGTACTGTGACTGGCCATCCATTTTCACCTCTCTCTTTCTAAGATCTATTAGTAATATCAAGTGAATCACATTTTCATATTGTCTCTGAGTTATTCCCCAGAAGAAATAAACAAGTGGAGCACATTAGCAAAACGGTGTTTCCCTGACCTAGGTATGATATTTTGAAAATATGCTTGATGGTTCTAAGATGATTTGTTTGTTTTATGTAATAAGCCTTTGGTTCCTGAGAAAAGCAAATGCTTTTGAGTTACATACAGCAAAGCCTTCTATCTACTACAGGGGACCACGTATACCACACATCAGTTAGAGAAAATGGCCAGTGCACTGAAGACTTCTTCAGTGCTTACCCATGGTATCCTAAATTCTACCTGGCTTCAGCTCTCTTTCCTCTCGAGAGGAGATCCATAATACTTTTTTTTTTTTTTTTTAAACAAGGGATTTACAAAAAACTTTTTAAAAAACCCGATCATATGCCATTGTCAAGTATTCCTTGTTTCTTTCATTCCTTGGCTACTTTTATCCTATTCTAAGGTAGCCAACCTCTAAGTACCTGATGAGCTGCCATGTGGTTCATCTTGGTTGACTTTGGTTGTTCTGATTGTGAACAGCTAATGGGAACATCTACCAGAGGATGAGCAGTAGAATGCTACTCTTATCTGTTCATCTTTAGTCTATTTTGTCAAAAATAATTGAAAAGGATAAAGAGATAGAGTCAACTGATGAGTATTGTGAATCATCCATAATTTTCATTCTTTATGATATTACTGACTCCTCTTTTAAAGCAATGATAAAGTGATAGCCACGTATTAATAACTCTCCAAAGAATACTATGTGATAAAGGTGAGCAGTCTGAGCCTGAGGCTCCTGCAGGATGCGTGTGATTCCAGGGTTACCACAGCAGAGGTATTCCTTAGGTCTGTTTACTGACATATCACTTAGAGCAAAGACCATCTGCTAACTCTCCAAGAGGCAAAAGGATGAGATCTTACAGCCCTACAGAGAGGTTTTGTGATGACATAAAACTGAAAAGCTTGAGAATTTCTAGAATTTGGGTTGGAAAGCATAGTAAAACTTCTCATTCCCTTATCACAAATCTGCCCCTGCACTAGACTGATTGACATCTGTCTCTCAGAGTGACCGCTTATTTAAGAACTACGATGTCTCAGCTCAAATGTATCCTTGATCTGGCTGGACCTTTGCTATATCTCCATGTCCATGTAATCAGTTGTGCTCTAATGACACTCGGCAGTTTGAATGGAATGGAATATCTGGGAATAGAGATGGAATAAATTTTCATACCAAAAAGTCTCGTTATGTTCCTTGAACTTATTCTATTCCAGTGGGTCAAGAAAGATTATGGGTGGGTTTGTCTCCTGGAAAAAATGAAAGTGAGGTACACTACAAGAACTAGTTTGTTCTTGTAGTTTTCAATCTTGTTTCCATTACGTGGCTAGTACAGACAGGAAATTGGTGCTGGTGCGACAGATTCAGATTCTAAATTCTGTGTGCCTCCTTCACAATGGTGAAGTCCTAAGAATGGATTGGCAACTATGTTTCATTGTAAAAACCAGTTTTACAATGATTCCCAAACTCACAGATGCCAGTTAGTAGACAAACTCTGACAATCTGGTATCATGATCAGCTGATCCTATGGGGCATATCATTAAAAGCCTGTTTTAGAACATGCACTTAAGCAATCTGCCTCCTAGATTTATCATAGCTCACCTCTTTCCACAGCTACTTCAGATACTGTAGATATGCCCTCCCTTCTATCCTGGCCATTTCAAATCTATCCTTGCATCTATCGTTAACCTGTGTATAGATTCAAAAGAGACAGTACAGCTCTCCTCTGTGTAAAAGAACTTGGACTTGCCCGACTAACATCTTCCACCTATACAAGTGTCAACCAGGGAATCTCACTGATTATAAAGGCTGAATTCCCCAAATGCCACTGGGTAGAAAGCTGCCACTTTCCCACTTAAAGCAATGTCCCAAAACTGGCCATCTCTCTCCCTCAAGAGAGGAAGTTGACTAGAGTCCATTTTGCCTGCTGTAATTGAAGTCGGCTTCATCAAGCTGCGATTCTGTAATGTTCGAGAGTTTCGTGTGTGTCCTTCCAATTTCTTCAAGGGCACAGGCCAGGGAGTCAAGGTCACCGTCGTGCTGATGACGAGCTTCCCACAGGTTCAAAATGACAGCAGATGGGCTACTCTGTGTAGCAAAATAAGACAAATTCCTAGAGAGAGTCAAACAAAAATAAAAATCACCACGTGAAAATTTTCGATCGACTTTAGTAGATATAATTTCCAAGGGATAGAAAGTTATACCAACAGATCTGGGGCAGTCGAGTCTTTGTCCTTGACTGAAACTGTACTCTGAAATGCTACCTGGGGCCTAAAAGTCTTGTCTGTTTTCTTTGCTGGAACAGCACGTTTCTCTCTTGATCATTCCCTTGAAATTACTCCATTAGTTTCTGTGATAACTCATTCCTAGCTGTAAAAATATCTGACCCCTCCCAAATTCAGGAAACATACGGACTGCCAAGTCTTGGTTTCTTGCTCTTCTTCCTCAGTGGGCCCGTATGTGAAATGGTGTAGGAAATTCCAAGCATCTAAATCTGCATCTCCAGTCTTGGCAGTTCTAGTTACAGAGAGCTAGTCAGGGATCCCTACATGCCTGAGGGTCACATGTGCCTCCATCTCCTCACACTCAGGGTGCCAGAGACTGACACCATCTCCATGCCTGCAAGTTAGTTCCCTTTGTAACTGTAACAAGCATCCTAGTGTTTACAGCCGTATCTTGTCATTGTCACACTATGCCATTTGTAACTGCCCCCTCCCTCAGTACTGTTTCATCCTGTGTGGTATATTCACTGGCTTTCCCTTCCTCTCCAGTCATATTACTCATAAGTAATTTATATCCCATCGCTTTTTGGCCTGAATCACAGCAAAAGTTTCCAAATTCTGTCTCCAAATTCTACATCAAATGCACACTGCTTCTATTTCCTCAGTCACATTTATTCTAATTTATTCAATGCCTCCCTTTGTCAGCCATCAGTAGTTATCCAGGTATATGACACGTATGTCAGGAAATCTGTGTGTTTGCGTAAATATGCCTAATCCACATGTCCCCGTCCTCTTTTGGTCCTTGAGCCATCAGTCCTGACTTCTGTAATACTTTGCTTCTTGCTTTCATTTAATCTGTTCCACTCACTAAGAATGTCCACTTCCTTCCTTCGCCCTGTTTTTCAAAAGCATGCACTCCTACAGAGTGTGGTTCACACCTCACTTCCTCTTCCCCCAAAACGATTTATATCTTCTCTGAACTTTTGTTATCCTTGGCTCAGACTTTTATTTCTGGTGTGTGTGTGTGAACTCTGTCTTGCCAATTTGACTATAAATGCCTGAAAGCTAAGGATCATATTTAAATGAGTTTCTGAATTTGCTACAACACTTATCATAACACACTGACAGGTGTTTATTCAACACCCATTACCTGAATAATTGAGTCTTACAAGACTGTGTCCAGATGACACAGTTTCTTCAGTGGAAAAATGATAACCTTCTAAACTCTGCTGCAATGAAGACTAGGATAATGCAAAGGATTTGTAAAGGTCCCTGTTTCTCACAGGCACTCATACAGTAAGGACAGAAATGTCAGTCCTGGTGAAATTATGATGAGTTAAAGCTTTTGCGAAGTGTCTGCTTTAGGGATGGTACTGCTCTCTAACACTGTGCTCCACAGGCACTCACTAAGTGGATTTATATAAAGAGCACTTGGAAGAGAAGACATGTTTGTAATGGCACATTACCATTGACAAGCCACACACACACACACAGCTGTTCTAAATAAAATTTTATCCTTTCCAAAATTTTAAGAGATCCTTTGCAGCCCAATGACTGCCCACAGCATAGATATCCAAGTCGCTACATATATATTCCTCTACCTATGTAACTTTAACTGAGAGAGGTAGGTGGCCAGCTCAAAGATGTTCTTCTACTTCTTTTTAAAAATCTCTTTCGTTTCTTAATTTTTAAAAAATGGTTACTTATTTCTACCTCAATAGAAATGGTACAACAAACCCCACTCCGGTCTCTGAAGGTATCCCTTTTCTTTTATTGGAGAAATCTGTCTTGAACGTTGGCACCTTCCTGGCCATGTGGAAATGGGACTGTATCACTCATTTTCAGCAGGATGTAGACTGGAGGAATAGTTGGGGGGAAGCACCCTAAGTACTGAGGCTGGAGTCCACCCTGGGACTTAAGGACCATCTCTTTTCACATCCATTATCAGAATGATGACCAGGGACGTGCTTTTGTTTTCTCAGAGAACAGCAACAGCAACAAGGGCGGCTCCAGCTTCCTCACATCTTACTGAGGATGCAGATTCATATTCGCTATTGAGCATCCATGATCTTGGCTTCTGTGGAAGTGACTGGTTATGCTCCTATTAACCCAGAAGTTAGCCTACAATCTACATTAAGGTTGACAATGTTTTCTGTAAAGAGTGGAACAGTAAATATTTCTAGACTTGGCACCTCTCATTCATTCTCTGTGGCAGTAACTCTGCCCCTCCAAGGTAGTGCAAAAAAAAAAAAAAAGCAGTCTTTGGTAATGCAGATGCTAATGAATGTGGTTTTCTTCTGCTAAAACTTCACTTAGTAACATAGAAATTTGATTGTTAAAGTTTCCTTTTTTCCCACATTACTTACTATTCTCCTTTTGAATTTTTCTGACCATTTAAAAATGTGAAAAAAAAAATTCTTAGCGGTGGCTATGAAAACAGACTATCATAAGCCACGTGTGGCTGTCCCCATTGTGCTGACCCCTGCCCTGTGCTACTTATAAACCAAACTACATGTTCATAGGTGACTGCTATTTGAAGGATTAGCCTGAGTCTCATGGTTTGGGATGTACCTGGATGGCCAAAGTTTCTGAATTCCAACCTATGTGTTCTGCTTCCAAGTATTCAGAGGGCTTTATCCTTTTAAACACCTTTGACACTTGGAGACATGACAAGGAGACCAACTGTGAAAAGTACAATACTGAAAGTGGGAGAGAGGCATAAACAATATTCTTTGAAAGTGATGAATTTTTTGTTTCAATGCAACATGCAAACTATTCATGATCTAACTGGGGAGGCAGGTGTTCTGGGTACACCTGCTTACCAGCAGGTAGAACTCAGGGCAGAACTCAGGACTCCTGCTAGCCATGTACCACTGCACAGTCCTGCAGCGGTCCATATTCTGGAATAGGCATTGAGGGCTAAAGGAAACTAAATGATCAAAGGAGTCAGAAATAAAACTCACTTGGCAGAAATCTTTGAACATATTGTAGCTAGTGAAATGTGCTTCCCAAAGCAAGTTTTACATTTATTTTTTCAAATTTACACTCAGCATAACACATCCAAATTTCAAATTCTACTTCATTTTAGTACATCCACAGAGGAGCTTATCAGCCTTTTCACAAATAATGCAATCAGCTTTGCAAGTAATAAGTATTAAAGTATACTTATAATCTACAACAGAAAAATGAATATCTAAAACCCCTGAAATCCTAATGAACAACTCCTCAAATATAGCTATGCTATTTTATTGAGTACATGGATGCAAATGCATTATGAATTTTGAAAATTGGTGTTCCATCAACCCATTTGGCTATCTGCATATCACCCTTTAAAGAATACTCTGACCCTAATCTATGTGGCCTATTTCTCTCATGATCTTGCGGCTACATGCAGTACCAGGAAACAAATGTGCATAGCTCAGGGACATCTCAGGGACATTCATACTACTACAAAATATGATTCACAGCAATAGCTGAAGTTAAGCAGCATTTTTTTAAGTGTGTCAGTCTGTCTCTCTTCAAATGAAACCAAAACATTAGCAAAAAATAGTAATCCTGAATAATTAGGTAGGAGACTATAAGTGAAACTTTATTGTTTTCTTTCTCGATGAAAAGTTTTAATGTAACCCCTATTTACTACGTTCAAATTTGATGCTTCTATATTTTCTTTTCTATGCACTGCATTTCAGGAATCCTTTTATCACACAGCTTTTGCAAATTTTGTTCTACTGAGGTAACAGAAAATCAAGATTTAGTTTCTATGCTGCTATAAAAATGTTGTATATAAGGAAGGTAAGATGATCTAACTTCTGAAATTTAGGAATGTACTTTAGAATCATTGTATGACCTCAATTTATTTGCTCTAAAATTGATGGACTCTATGACTGATTTTTAAAACTCCCATTAAGTACACATATACTGTAAAACACATATGAACAAGAAGATCAAAGCTTATGCTACGACAGCAAAATAAATTTTTCCATGTAGGCTCATTGAATAGTAATTGTTTATTAATTTTGTTTTGTTGAGCTTAAGTACTTTCTATACACCTGAGTTCCCAAACCTTTATTAAGAGGGAGATTAACTTTACGGTTCAGAGACTTCTCTCTCCCTGTCCCTTGCCCCCAGCTAAAAGCTTGTGCTTTATGTGGAAGCCAGGGTAGAACTGGAATCCCCACCAATTTCACTGGCTAAGCACCAGACAATTTTCAAAGCTAAAGATTTTTTTAAAATTCAAATTTCCTTAGTACATGTTTGCAATGATTACATTCATTGTGGGGGGCTGATATGTGTACCTAACATCATAATTCTTTTGACATCCTCTTCCCCTATGGTCGTCCCCTCCACTATCTTTATTATATAGAATCTTAGTTTTCAAAATACTAACAGCTGTGTAAGTTACTATTACATTTAGGTCAGCTTTAAGGGTGTTTGAGAATAGGTATTGAACGTTCTAATTTCTTTTGGGCATACAAAGTGAGAGGCAAAGAGCACTAAGCAGTCATGATAAAATTCTGCCATAGAAGGTGATAGAACAGTTCTATCAGAAGGTCTTTAAAAATTATTGAAACAGAGGGCTAATTTTATTAAAAGGAAACTCAGCCAGAAAGGCTGCTGGCTTCCTTTTCTTTAGTTCTATGAGAGCTTTCTGGTCTTTGAGAATCCCTGCAGTATTCAAATGCAAATACCTAGGGACTCATACATCTAAATCCTCCATCAGTGAACAAAGGGTGAGATAGCAGTAATGGACAGAAAGGCACATGTCTGAGTTTGTATCTTAGCCCTGGGGAACTGTGCTGAAGAGCTACCAAGGACGCCCTTCTTGCATGTGGCCTAAAAAGGACTCCTTTACACTTTCAGTTCCAGATAACAAAGCCTGCTTTGTTTTGCT